ATCAGATCGTTAACGTTATAATCTACAGTGGCAGTAGTCTCAACCTGAACGAACAATCGGTGTCGTCACTATCTTCCATGTACAGAACCGCGAATGAATACCTGAATCCGTGCTCTCAGCTGACTCGCCAGCGCTGAGACCACTTGGTCCCGGAGCAGGCTCGGAGTCAGTACTAGCAGCCATCGCCGGTTCAGCAGGCGGCGCGGGCTCAGCAATCGGCGGGGAAGGCGACTCAGGCTCAGCAGCATACACCGCCTCATTGGCGGCCGAGCCACGACGCCCCTGGAGTTGTCTGGCCACCCTCGGCACCTCGCGGGCCTCCCTAGTCACAACCGTATCCCGATCATATGACCCCGGGGTAGGCTCCTGGTGCCTTCACTGGTCCTTCATGGCAACCTCCTCCTGATACACTGTGCAGGCAACTGGACATGGAAAACTGCACTGAAGTTTGCACTGGTATTTCGCAACATCAAGAAGGCTGCTGAATTTCGCGGTGGCGGCGTTGTTTTGTCACTCTCTTTCTTTGATTTCTTGCCGATAGCTCTGCTGGCATATCGATCCTTCTCGATCAATTGTGTCACGTATTTCAGATCATGAAAAGGGATCGTCTCGTTGGTCCACAGTACCCTGATTTCTACCGTCGCGGTCATGAAGATGGTATTAGTGAGATTCCTCTTCGATTCGCTCAGTTACCTGAAATAGCTCAAGTTTTTCTCGTAGTCGGCAGCTGGTGGTGGGACAGTAGAGCCGTGTGGCCTGTCACGAGATGTTTTGTGCGCGACCATGTAGCCTGTCACGAGATGTTTTGTGCGCGACCATGTAGCCTTCAGCATGCTCGTGCAAGTAATTGAAAGAAATGTTTCAGTTCCGGCAAAACTAAGTAATAAGCCCATATATCCTATGCAAAAAGCACAAACTGCAAATCAACATCACAATGATGCGTTAGCAATAACAAACTTGAGCGTAACCCGGTCCTCCGAGGCATTGTCATAGCCGCACAGCTTTTAGTTTTACCAAAAATTAATGTTGTCTACTAAAAAGTTAACTTAAAAGCTGTTCATTAACCCGCGTGCCAAGGAAAAACTTTGTCTCAGCTGATTCCAAGAGATGCCCCCCTCGATGACACACCCCACTGTGCAATCACACAAGCCGGAGGGGCATTTAACTGGTCATTTTCATGCTGGGTTTTGAGCTGGATGTCCAGGGAGTCCACCTCGCTAAGCGGAGCTTGTTGCTGGGAGTTGCTTGGGTAGAAAAAGTGTGCTGCACATCTACTCGAGACCGCGCGTAGCTGTTGCATACATAATGCATAGCCCCCTCGACGCTTGGCAACGCGTGTGTAGCAAACTGAGAACAGGCACGTCATTACATGAAATTGTACATCATCAGCTTCACAAACACGATAATGATGTGGTTACACGCGGTGCACTCGCTCATACAGCTTCTCCGCTACTGACAACATAGGCCATGGACCTTGGATGACCTCATTTGGCCCTGCATGTTTTCACCTATCCTACTGCGACCTCACTAGGCATTAAATGATAACACAACTTGTTCGCAGTGGAGTATTCGAATTATGCGTCCATAATTACCTTAAAGAACTGCCCATTTCGAGCTCAGAATGTGTTTTGAAGAAGACATCCACGGAGGTAGGTCATGACCTGAGCCAACGTCATGTGAACTGTGGTCATATGGTGGTTGCGCACGTGAATAGTTAATATTTTCCTCATATGCAAACACCAAAAATACACAAAGATACGTAAAAATTTGCATTGCTTACGAAAAATGGCGCAACATGACTTGACTTCAGGTCACTGACCCTCCCGTTTTCGCAAATATAAAATAACCCAATTGGAAGTACTGTGATGCTATTTTACTATAGCAAGTTTGAACAATGACAAATGACACACAACGATATTATATGTGGTCAATTTTTTAGAGACTGACCGCTCTGATCTGACATTGGCCACTGATCAAAGGAGATCAAACATTTAACCTTGCGCAAAGGGTGCCCATTAAAATATGAACAGCAGCAGGAAATTTGTTGTTGATGTGAGAGTTTACTTTTGAGCTGTGCTCGAAAACCCTTGGGGAAAGTCAACTTCCCCTTCGACTTAGTAGGGCCGGGCGCGGGCTAGAGGCAAAACATTGCATTGTTAAGAGAGGAATGAATTCTGGCAAGAATAGAAATGCGGAATAAGCAAAAGTCACTAAATAAACGTCAGTACATGTTTCTCATTCCCATCGTATCTGTGTTCATGCTCGTTTAAAACAAAAATTGCATCCTGAAAAGAGCAACAAATTATGGCAAAAGTGAATACTGAATGAGCCAGAAAAGTACGATAAGGCTTTCTACATACCTAGCTATCCTTTTCCTAGCCCCAATCCCGCGACATCATCATCTCGAATGCTCATGAACGCATACAAGGCTAAGTCAGGCGGGCTTATGTCTCTCCACCAGAAAGAGCAGGCGACTGACCGCAGCAAAAACCTTCATTAATCTTATCTCCATGCGTGGGGTATTGATCTCCCGGTTTTTACAGCTGCCTCGGGTAGCAAAAAAAAAATCATCAACGCCATCTCCATGTGCTATAGTGGTTTTTGTGCCTTTGTGCAGCTGTGTTCCAAACCGTTGACGGAAGTGCTTTAAACAGGTTGAAACTTTGTAATTTTTTTGCTCATGGACCACTGCTTAGTAATTGCAGACATACCTTCCCCAAAAGTGCACACACAATGGTATTTTTCACCTACTGTAGATCTTTTCCGGCCCGCTGCGAGTCGCTCCTGCCCACTCCGCAAAGTTTCCGATCAGCTGTGGAAACCTAGCCCGATCTTGCATTTAAGCTTACTGTGGTAGCGTCTCAGTGCCCATTTACGTTAGAATTTTTGCATGAATTTGATGCGAAAATGCATTGCTCTTAAGTCAATTTTTTGTTTATGCCACTGCAGCCTGCAGTGCAACCACAGCACAATGCAACTACCAAAAAACAGTGCAATGCAAAAACAACGCAGCACCGAACTAAGCCGAAAACTGAGCGAATATCTGGCAACGGTCACCGACCGGTTGTTCTGATGCCTCGCGATGTGTGGTAAAACCAGAGAAACTGTTGAAAATGAACCACGCAGCTGCCGTGCCAGAAGTGGAGGCGGACGCTCTTGAAGCAACTGAATTTGTGTTGCCAGAAGTCTAGACGTCGAAGCGGAAACAGGTGCAGAAACGGAAACAAGTAACGTCAACAGTGACGTATTTTTGCGCGCTGATACACATGCTCACGTTTCCCTAAATGCTTACCATGTTCTTATATCCCATGAAAGGAGTACTCGACTTTGAAGAATATGCAGCATCAAACATGATTTTGGCAGTGCAGTCTATCGGGCTGGGTGAGTAGCCTTGTATCTGGAGGCGGCTCGTACTACCTGACATCGTATCGTCAGAGATTTAGCGGGGTCTAAGAGAGGTCTGATGGTGTGCATTGCTGTGTTATCTCGCCCCTTTCATTATTGATCGCCGCAATAATGGACCATCTGGAGAGCGGGCAACCGTACACGAGGATCCGACAGCGGTCCAGCCCGGCTGCGTTCGGGGAAGCCTTTGGTGCGAGTGCTCTCCTGGAATTTATTTCCATCCTACTTTGCTTGGCTCAACATTCCCCATGTTTCGTGAAATACTAATCTCGAAATCATCATCTGCTGATCTGGAGGTTAGTTGTATAGATTTATAAATTATATAGAATTATAAATTTAATCGGAACATACAGTGTAGAATAGCTTAGCGAATCGCAAAATTGCATGTACTAGGGCCGTGTCAGAGCAGGGTCAACGGTTGAAGGTTAAGGGTGGGCAGAAGGGAGAGCTACTCTTAAGCATGGACAGCATGAACATTAACACACGAATTTCATAATCGCGAATGTCTTTTAAAGCTGGCATTCCCCTCCCGACTCTAACAAGGTTCATCCGCCACAGCGCCTGGTAACTTGACTAAGAGAGATCTGGGGCCTGAAATAAAATTCGCTTTTGGTTCATCTATCGAGCAATATTGTTTTGGTTTTCCCGACCGCCGGCATAATGCGTGCATGCACATAGAT